AGGTTGAGGACCACTGGTCTATAGTGAGTGACAATAGCTATTCCAGCCCATAATTGTTTGAACGTTTTGGACAATTTGTGTGATCCTTACAGGGCTCCAGATTGCCCGTTCTGCTGTATCCTTTCTTTTCCAAGATTCCCATCAAAAAGTAATGGTTCTTTCTTCTGAGATAATTGCTCACTGGCCTTCCCCCCCTTTTCCCCGCCTTGCAATAGCTGGGGATGTGCAATAGCTGGGCGTCATCATCCAACATGATCCAGAGTGATGGATGGGAGTGGCAGTCCAGCTATGGGAACTGGATGGTGCCAGGCTAAAGGCGGCTGGCTTTTAGCAATGATTTGGTCTTTTCTCCCTCTGTAAAGCCTGACTCTTCTACGAATTGTCCCTTTCCTCCAGCTCGCTTGCTCGCTTCCAGACTGTCGGCTTAAAGTCTTGCTTCCCTTTCTCCCGGAGAAGCTTCTGTTTGGCCTTTGCAGGGAGGTTTCACGCAGAATGGCACCGGGCGATGAAGCGGAAGGATGGGAAATCCGGCACAAACTGGGGAAGGGCCTTTAAAAAATAATAATAAATCTACCAGGGTTAAGTAAACTATGGAGATGTTGGAACATTTTCCTATGTCAAATCCAGAAGGCAAACGGCACGGTTAAGAACGCAGCAAAGAGCGAAGAACAGATTTTTTTTTACAGCAAACTATTCAACCTCTCCAAACAACATAAATTTGGGAGTTAATCTCCAAAACAAGAAGCAGGAGAGAGAGAGTAAAAAAAAAATTTTTTTCAAGCCCTCCAGGCCTCTGGAAGAAGCACAAAGGTGCAACCGCTAAGGATTTTATTGGCCATTTACGCACTGATGGAGACCCATCATTTCGTTGCAAAGCAGTCCGGGATCCCTATAAAACGCTGCTGGGGCTTGGACCTTGGCTTGCCTGCACAGCAGATTAACAGACTGCAACAGGAAAAAAACAAAAGAAAAAGACTTTCTAGCTGTCAACATGAGCCAAGGACAGTCTAGCTGCCAATAGTTTTAAAAACCAGAAGTCATGGAGAAGAAAAAGAGGTTATTCCTAGTTTGGTGCGGCCACAGCCTAGCCTGGACGAGCCAAAGATAAGAAAAGCTCAAGAACAAATCCTGCACGGGTAGCTAGTTATTTTCGTTCTTTCAAGGGCCGCTTCCCTTAATGGTAATCTCTTAGGGACACACGCAGGCGACGGTGGAGGCTGAAGTCAGCAAACATACGCATCGAGCTAAAAGCGAGGGCCACTCCCTTGCTTCTCCCCCCGACAGGCCCTTCGCGCCTCTCCAAGTAGTAGGCTACTGAAGGAAGAACAGGTTACCGTATTTTTCCGGGTATAAAATGACACTTTCCCCTAAAACAATTAGAGGAAAAACTGAGGGTCGTTTTATACATGCTACTAAGGAGGGGGGAGGGATCGAAGTGCTTCAATCCCTGCTTTCCCCCTCCACTTTTTGCAAAGAAAGTAGATGGGGGAAAGCAGCTTTTTGTAAAGAAAGTGGAGGGGGAAAGCAGCTTTCTGCAAACAAAGTGGAGGGGGGGAATCGCTTTCCTCGCAAGAAAATGGAGGGGGAAAGCAGGAATCAAAGCACTTTGATCCCTGCCTTCCACCTCCACTTTCTTGCAAAGAAAGCAATTTTGGGTTAGAAAAGGGGGGTGTTTTATACATGGGAGCGTCTTATAAACAGAAAAAAATACGGTATTCTAGCAGAGATCTGAAATGACAGCCTGCAAAGCGCTTTCGGAATAACAACATGGGCCACAGAAGAGCAATCTGAGGGACGCAGGTTGCTCACTTCTGTACTACTGATATGTGGTGTCAAACTTTCTCATTTACAATGATGCTATCAACTGACAACTGCCAGAAGGTCATGAACTTGCGAACTAACAGCCATGGTTTCAATCTATTTCCTATTTGATCTTCTTTTCCTTCCCCCTCCCCGTTTTCTTAGCATAATTGCGTTTTCCGGTGAATCTTGTATTTTCATATAATGTTCAAAGTATGATAAACACATACAGTAATTCATTTTAACTTCTAGCATCCATCCATCCATCCATCTCTCTCTCTCTCTTTCCATCCATCCATCCATCCATCCATTGACTAACCCATCCATCCATCCATCCATCCATCCATCCATCCATCCATCCATCCATCCATCCATCCATCCATCCATCCATCCATCCATCCATCCATCCATCCATCTTTATAGCTCAAGTAATCCTACCACTTGAAACAGTTGGGCTGGTGGGAAATGACTCCGTAGAGACTAGATCTTTGATCTTCTCCTCCTATAGTCTTCTTAACCAAAAAGCCCCAACACACGGCCTTTTGCTTTTTGCTCTCCATCCATCCATCCATCCATCCATCCATCCATCTTTATAGCTCAAGTAATCCTACCACTTGAAACAGTTGGGCTGGTGGGAAATGACTCCGTAGAGACTAGATCTTTGATCTTCTCCTCCTATAGTCTTCTTAACCAAAAAGCCCCAACACACGGCCTTTTGCTTTTTGCTCAAGGACCCAAAACTCCTGCAGGCCCAAGAGAGAAGGTGCCCTGGCAGCAGTATTGTGGCGTGAAGGCTATTTGGCACATATCGTTTTATTAGCTCCTTTTTGCTTTTTTTTGTTTTTTACCCCAAGGGCCTGGCAGATCACGGAGAGATGAGAAGCAACGACATGTCTCAACCACCACCGTGAACATTTCTCGGCCATCATGCCAAGGAACCACCGCTTTTCCTTTTAAGTGTAACAGAATCGGGAAGAACAAGCGTTTTTAGAGCATGAAGTAACGCACAAAACCCTGCGCAATTCTTTTTTTTTGCCATTCACAGTAGCTGTCTGCCAGCCAAAGAGGCAGAACTAATCTGAAGGGGAAAGAGCAGGGAGTGGGAAATTGCCAGAGTTGGAAGCTGCGGCTAATGGGGAGGGCGAGGTTCCTGGTTCTACAAAACACAAGGTATTGTTGTAGCAACACAATCTGTTCTTTGCACTCCTCCCGCAGAAGGAATTTGGTCAGAGTAGACCAAAGGGCTGCCTGATTTAACAATCCCTGGTTACCTCCGTGCAGTATGCCGGGTGCAACGGCTGGAATAGTCACCCGTTGACCATGGGCAAGGCAATCTAATCTTTGGTACCTGGCAAAGATAGATTTTTCTTGAACACAGATGTTCTATCCAGCTTTGGTGCATAAACAGGTAGACTGAACGATACAGTAGGTAGCTAATAAGAGTCAACGTGATGCAAATGTTACAATGCCAGCCTAGAAAAGGAGATATCTAAGAACCGTGATGCAAATATTACAATGCCAGCCTAGAAAAGGAGATATCTGGGTTCTAATCCCCACCGAGCCCCGGACATCACCAGTCACTCTGAACCTTATTGTTGTGAGGATAATACAGTGGTGCCTCGCTTAACGAGACAGAGCCCCGGACGTCACCAGTCACTCTGAACATTACTGTTGTGAGTATAATACAGTGGGGCCTCACTTAACGACGATAATCCGTTCCAGGAAAATCGCTGTTAAGCGAAAACATCATAAAGCGAAATTAAAAACCCCATTGAAACGCACTGAAACCCGTTCAATGTGTTCCAGTGGGGTAATAACTCACCGTCCAGCAAAGATCCTCCATACGGCGGCCATTTTCGCTGCCTGTATAGCGAGAAATCCGTCCCTAAGCACAGCGGGGAACCATTTTAAGCACCCGGCAGTCATTCTGAAAACCCGAGGATCAGCTGTTTTTGATAGTCATAAAGCGAAAATCGGTTCCCGAAGCAGGGAACTGATCATCGCTAAGTGAAATCCCCCCATTTAGACCATCATTTTGCGATTGCAATTGCAATCGCAAAAAGATCATCGTAAAGCGGATTTGTCATAATGCGGGGCAATAGTTAAGCAAGGCACCACTGTAGTGGGGAGAAAGCCACATACACTACTCTATGTGCATCTGGAAAAAATGCATTTATTTCATTTCATCAATAGCATCCTTCAGTCTTGAGAGACGATGGACACATGCTCTGAATAGAGGTCTTGGAACAGCAGCTCGTGTGGCTGAGAAGGCCAATTTGAGAGTGACCATCCCTTCCACACTGGAGACAGATACAGTCTGTCCCCTGTCCAGCTCCCTGATTTTGCTGGTTTCGGGACTGCCCCTTGGCCTCGGCCTCTTCATTTACAGCCTGTCTTTATCCTAATCCAGATATCCAAGACAGGTTACAAAACGGTACAGAAGTGGAGAACACATTAATATATGAAAAAGGCTAGGAACCATATACTGTAATATTAAACTTCCACCAAACAAAGAAATTCAAAAATAAAGAGCAGCAACGAAGGCATATATATGTGGAGGGGGAAAAAAAAACACCACAAGAGTTTTAAAGAAAAAAAGGAAAGCATCTAGTTTTGAAAACTCACACCATGCCCCTCACCTTGAGTTATCTTAACTATTGCAGATGGAAAGGTTAGGGGTTGGAAATAAACGAATTCTGCATTTGCTCTGTGCGAATACGTCTGGGAACCAGGAAATGTACTCCACACCTTCAGCAAAGACAAAGCATTCGCTACCTCCACCAGCTTTGTTGAATTGCGGTTGGCACATAAACACCCAAGACAAACTAAAGGAACCACACCTTAATGCTGATAAGGAGCTGCCGACAGAAACAGGAAGGACCGAGACTCGCATTTAAAGACTCCCCAAAGCCACCGATTTATCTTTTTTTGGAAAAATCAGGGCTTGCGTAGAAGCCACACGTAAGGAGACCGGGAGAGATCGCACTGCACAAAAACAAGCACAAAAAAATCGAGAGGCATGGATCTCAAAGGAATAGAAGTACAAAGGCCATCTATTCCATCACTCTGTTTCCCACCATAGGCAACCAGCTGCCTCTTTTCATGCTCATCAGCATAATACAAGCACAGCGGCATCCGCCCACTCAAATTCCTCCGCAGCTGCTGTTTTGTTTAAGGGGTTCCCTTCCCAACTATCATACTTAAGAACTATCCGTCCGAAGGCCTCCCCAGTCCGCCATTCTCTTGCTGCTGCGTCTGATGACCTCTGGAAAGTCCCGAAGCAGGACACCAATGCAGTGTGATAGAATCAGCATTATAGTCACGGGGTTGGAAGGGACGTATAAGGCCACGCCGTCCTACCCCTTGCTCAAGGAAGGAAGAAATCCAAATCTTCCACCTAGGAAGAAACAGCTTAGTGGTGGTGACCATCGAGAGACACAGTGTGGCATGCATTTTCAAAGTTTCTCGGGTTAGAAAAAGAGTATATATTCCTGCTGGAGGAGACTCTTGAGAGTCCCCTGGACTGCAAGGAGATCAGACCTATCCATTTTGAAGGAAATCAACCCTGAGTGCTCCCTGGAAGGACAGATCCTGAAGCTGAGGCTCCAACCCTTTGGCCATCTCATGAGAAGAGAAGACTCCTTGGAAAAGACCCTGATGTTGAGAAAGTGTGAAGGCAAGAGGAGAAGGGGACAACAGAGGATGATGAGATGGCTGGACAGGGTCATTGAAGTGACCAACATGAATTTGACCCAACTCTGGGAGGCAGTGGAAGATGGGAGGGCCTGGCGTGCTCTGGTCCATGGGGGTCACGAAGAGTCGGACACGACTTAACGACTCAACAACAACATACTGTATACAGTGGTGCCTCGCACAACGAGCGCCCCGTAGAGCGATGAATTCGCTCTACGGGGACGTTTTTTCGATCGCTA